TGATTCTGTGTCAGCCTGCGAATAATTGAAATGCAATTTTTAAAAAACCGCTCAAGATTTTTCGACATGATTTTTCATTCGAAAGTTGGTGGGCTTCAAATGACCGTTTGATATTGACTCACAGACGCACGACTTAAGCGAGAGAACTTCAACGAAGGAACCTCAGGTAAGAGTTCACAAAAACACGAAGGCAGATGGTGCTACTCAATGCCTTAACACATTCTCACCTGCCCGAATGTCCACCCTGCTACCGTGTGAACCACTTTATGATGTAATGGATTTGAGCCATTGAACGAGATATACTATATTATTTGTGACTTTCCTCCTCTCGCCTCCCAGTTCCGTCTAAATGTGACCCGTTTTTGAAGCGAAGTTCCACCATACTCCTCCAGTTACCACTTCTCGTACATATTTTTGGACGATTTCAAATTCAGCAGTGGACGCTGCATTGTGGTTGGCTCATCCTTGCAACAGGGCGGTTGCATTCTGTGTCAGGGTTCTTGCTGGATATCTACCGTCACCGATCGTTCCAGTTATAGCTAGAACGAATTCGAACTTTTCGCTGTGTAGATTTTTCACGGGTGCATCTGACATCGGATTGAGTTGAGCCAAACCATGGGTTTCGTGCACAAGCGCATTCTAAATGGGCTTAGTTACACACAACGGCAGTCATTGGGCTGGTATGCTCCTCAGAATGACAAAAACCATTCACGTGCAGCCTAAAGGGAGTCAGAAACGGTCTTTTTGTGCGTCGTGAGATCAGAGTGGGAGATATAAAGAGGCTAGATAACAAAAAGATCTAGGTACTTGACACTCTTTAGGCGACTTTTTCCTACTCTGATGCGAAAATCGGCCGAAAAGGTTTTTGCTGTTGGGACGGCTTGGTGCATTTTAAAGTGCATTATTTGCAAGGGCTACCGGACACACAAGTGAATCGTTCGGACCGTTTCTCGGATGCACCAACCGGGTTTCTTGCTCAAGGTGCCTTATGGATGCAGAGCTTGCCGAGCATATCCAAGGACCGCTGAGTGGTTGCCGGCAGGTTTAAAATCCAAGACTTCGTAAGACAGTTCCATGGTGTCTTGATGGTTTCCAGGGATTCACACAAACGTCTTCATTTCTCTACCCTTGACTGCACTCAGATTTGTCCACCGGGTTCAAAATTACATGTACCGTGGGACGCGGCAATTTTTAAAGCCTATAATTTATGACAGAGACCACAAATGTGCTGCCACAGGCGAATAGCAAATAAGAATATCGCAACTTTGAGGGTATTCAGGCCTATGTTCGGCCAAAATCAAATGACCAAAATGTCGCTCTTGTTTCTGCGGGATATTAGAGATATCAGAGGCATCCCTGTTACATCCAGTGTTCACGAAAACACTTGATGCATGCACAGGGTCTGAACGGCCACAAAACCCCCGTCCAATGAGACTCGAGTTTTCCGTAGGAACCGTGTGAACTGATATTTAAATCAGGATGATCGTCTATGCCGGATATTTTCCCGAAAGTATTTGACCCGTATAAAATCCGAGCGGCCAAGTACCTTGTAAAGAACCTGACACCATCCTACAACGTGCATCCGTATTGAGTACTCGAGAATAACCAACAAATGGGACTAGTTTCATGGGCATATGAGTGATAAACATGAATCGGGTAGAATGCCTGACAAATAATGCCGCAATCAACGGAAGTAGACCAAGGAGCTACTCGTCGTCAGGGCTTTCAAAACAATGAAAAATGAGCACCAAACAATAAATCGTACGGATACGGCGATCATACAGTATTAATGAGTTTTATAAAAGGACAAAGAGGCGCGCCACAGACAGAAAGCTCAGGAGATATCTCCTGAGGGAAAATAAGAAAAATGTTCAGAGGATGGGTATCGGGTTAAATCGTCACACAGTTAACACTGGGTAAATAAGCACTGCTGCATGTCAAAATAGGAATGCGCACCCACGCCAATCAAAATCGAAATATAAACAAGGGCTATTCGGTATGATGCGATGCAGATGGAATACAAATATAGATCTGCTAGCAAAGTCAAGTTGGCTCAGTGTATAAGGACTTGGGCTTCCCACCGTGGGGTCCGAGTTCGAGCCTCGACCTCCCGAGTGTGAAAAGCTTGAGCGGCAGAAAAATCAAGGGAAGGACTGTCAAAAGAGCAGAACATTGTTATAACGATCATACTACACATGGGTAGTCGCACGAAAAAGAGAAGCACTGGTTGCCGGTAATCCGCAGGTATGATCAACAAATAATGTTGTTAAGCCTTTGAATAGGTTAGTTAGCTGTAGGGTGAATACAACCCATAAACACGATTTCGAGAGCCAAATGTCGAAAGGTATCTGGTGTCTCATTTTAGAACGCATAATACCTTGACTCTCAGGCTCCAGGAAGGAAAAATATGCTAGTGAGGGAAACCGTAATTAGCCATTAGTAGCTGGTTTGGAAAACTTCGTTGAAATCAGTCAGCGACATGGCAATGTAGCGGCTGGTTGCTGATTGTAAACTAACTGTTTAGGGCCAAAACCGTACCAGACATCAACCGCTTCGGATCTCAATTCGTGCGCTATGCATTTTTATAATTTTATTGACGGATATTAGACGAGAATCCGTGGCGCCTAGTTTGCAACCATCTCGGGAACTCAGGATTACTTCCACCATACGGACAACGGAAAAGCATAGCAAGCTGTAAAGGCAGTTGAAGCTTTTATCTTAAAACCAAGGCGCGAGAAAACTCCCTCCCTCATGCTTCTAGAACAATGGAACACACCAAAATGCAAGCAAAATGGAGCCGGGCGTAAAACTTGCGCGGTCGGAGGACTCATGCATTACGCAGACACCCTCCAAAGGAACGGTGTGTTGCAAAATGGTTCAATAAACAAAAATTTTCCCAAAATGCGTTTATGAATTCAATACGGAGGCCTTGCCAGGACCACAAGAGGAGGACGTTTGAGTGGAATGTGCCAAAACAACATTACAAAAGAAGCAGATGAAGGGTACATGCTCAACAGTGTTTAACTGCATACAACGTGGGGAGAATGGACGTAGACGAAAATGAAGCGTTAGAGGAAAGAACCAGGTTTGCTTGCTATAAATGTCGTCCAAAATCGATAAGGAATCAGGCATGGAAATATGCCTGAAGCTTCATTCCACGCCATTTTGTGCGGAAGTCCAGTGTATGTCGTTCACGTCTCAGAGGCTCCACACACCAATGCGCATTCAACCACGTTTGAGTGTACCAAATGAGGCCATGCTATTGAGCTGAGAAAGGCTTTATTGAAAGGGCTCACTCATACACTGTTTGATGCATTTCCTTTGTAATTTTTCTAAATGCTTCTCAAAAGTAAACTTTTTCGCTGACGGTTTGACATGTCCTTCTCTTGTGTCTAAGTCTGAGCATCTCGTTCCTAAAGTATTTTGATGTGATACTAGCCGATTCCACGTATCAGCACCACATTGATCACTACCAACCGTGGCAAGTGGTAGCCATATAAAAGATTGTGCTATTCGCACTACGTTTTACTTCCGTTTTCCTCGATGAGACACGCGACTTTTACTACCAGCGGCGGAAGGTTTCCTGCAAACAGGATTTTGATTTCGAGTAAGGCATTACTGTGGTGCGAGAATGGTTGCGCAGCATGTGCGGAAGCGGCGGCTGATCTCATATATCTTTAGGATGCTCTAGTAAGTACAGGCCAAATGAGGCTTTGGTAGCCTAGGAGAAGTTTACGCAAAATGCACTCAAGCGTATGATGTTTTAACAGCACGGAGAATATTGTACGTCCTATAGAAATTTTCGCGTAAAAGTGTTGATTTTTGCTCTACGCATGCCCAAAACGAGAAACGTGGTAAGCTGATTCACTTTTGTTGGAACATGTTTCACTCAATCCTAATAAGCAATTTTCGGTGGACTTTCGATGTTACAGCTGCACTGCTACGACTCGAGAAGTTTTAGGTTCTGTGAAGTTGGTCGCTGTTCCATTTCACCCTTCCCGAAAGTTGAGATAACTGTGTGGTAATTGTGCTGCGGATAAAAAACAACGCCGCTTTGCCTTAAGAGTGAGTGCATCGCAAATGAAACCGGGGACCAGGAAAACCAGGCGGAAATTTAGGGAATTACAAGAAGTTGGTAAGTTAAGTGCAGTTGTCAGTGAGAACAGTACACGAAGCACCGATTGTCCGGTGTAGTTTCTTGTAGAAGGACACGGTGACCATCACTCGGTCTTGTTTTTGTACGATCAACTTCCGGGCCAAACAAAGAATATTTCGGAGCCTGCATGGTTTTGCCGAGGTAAATGACACTGGCGCACGAAATGGGGCAGTTTGTATTTCATGGGAGAGGCGAGACTTTACCGCTCAAACCTCACACAGCTACCAACCGAAGTATCGGCAATCTTCGTTGAGTGGGTAAAAGATGGCTAAACCTTGTTGCGACATATGACAGGGCTTCCTTCCCGGTTATTTTCGTGAGTTTCGATGGGTGGTCGTATATCGCTTGGGGGGCGGCCACTACAACCACATGTGGATGGCAGAAGACAGTGTCGTTCAGACGCTTCCCAATTGTAGTGAACGTCAGAAAACCGATTGGGGTGAACCCTCTTAAACCAACTATTTTAGGGCCTTAAATACTAGCCTTACATGTTCCTTCCGAGAGATGGCATTGTTACCAGGCCTCCGAATGTGTGCTTTTGTGGAAAGTAAGCAGACTGCTCCCACGAGTAAGCTGTCTGGAATGTTTAAGGACATGAATTGCGAACTCTATCGAGTGTAGACTTTCTCCACGCACAACTTAGTGACATAAATGCGGGCGACCATATTCGTGTCAGGGGCGATACCATGGAGGAATGTTGCTATATTCGCAAAAGCTGTAAGGATGCGCATCACATAACTTGCGCGTACTTTGGTCAAAGATACTATCTTGCAGCGGCCGACACATCCCACCGTATGGCTTGACTGGGTGATGCCTCTGTAGTTTTTTATTCATCATATTACAGCCATACGGATTCCGCCATGCTATGCAAGTACTGCGCTGTTCGCATCCACGACTCACATCTCTCCTCATGTTGCACTGGCCGCACACCACCTGGATGCAGGCCATGGACGCACGGTTCAGGGTTGGTCCATCTCTGCAATGTGACCATCGATCGTACGGAGAAATCCAAAGGTCACTAAAGAAAGCGCGTGTGCCCCTTGGGCAGTCTCAGACATGACGTAAAAAGTTGAATCATGTGGGAATAAGATATGCACATTTGATACCATTGGTACCGCAGAGAAATCCTGGAGGGCGATAGCTATATTTCACACGTGGCCTAACAATGGAAGACAACCAGGCATTTGAGGCCCAAACCCTCGAGGTTGTACCACTAGGAAACCCTGCGCTAAATAAACTATAGTTCCATGTACAAACCACGAGTGCTCCGATGAGTCCGACGCCCGCGGTGGTATGTGAACGCGCTCCTTCACAAGGCGACGTAGCTTCTTTGTCTGAATTTGTTCCCGGTGTTACGAAACTGGCTTGGTTCAAACGGTAATAATGATCACTCATGAATTTTTTCATGGCCCACTTCCGTATAAACCAGAGTTGTGTGTCTGAGTACAACGGAAGGGAGCAAGAACCACACTTTTCGATTGTTACCAAGCCACCTGTATTACCTCTCGATGGCCTGCATAGACAACTTAGCCATGTGGCGAGCACCCTTCAGCTCCCGGAACCCAGATGATCCACGGGCAAACTCTGCCGTGCCGAGGCTCGAAATATGTCATGGACGGCCCGTTTCCGGTAGTCTGGAATACTGCACTTCAAAACAGATAGCAGTCCAGGTACATAAAATTTGGCCCTTGTGGGTTTCTTGGACTGCGGAATATTTTCCGTGACCTCTGTTGTCCAAGATATCATTCATCATATTATGTCGACCGATGCCATATCGAACAGTGGCTGCTATGCGGCGCCGATCTTCAGGATTGCCCAAAAGGTGAGTGTGCATAGGACACTTCAATTTATTACCTGATTTCTGACCCATATTCTGCGGCAATTTCCACAAATTACTATAGCTCTAGAGCTCCCTAAATCTTTCCTCAACCGCAACTGGATGACATTTTCGGGCAAGTCAAGACTGCTTATTCCATTAGGCATTGTTTTTCTAATTTCAGACAGTTTTTGATGTTGACAATTCGATCATCCTTTAAATTGTCCATACAGAGACTTTGTGGGAAACACTTAAGACAGACATTTTTACCATGAATTGGTAAACACGAAGATATCTGGCTTTTCGAGAAGTTGTTTCTGGTCACCAGACATCAATAGACTGTTGGTCACCATGCTATTTAGTGATCTATATCGACAAAACGACTTGCAGAAGTGGCTGCGGAATAATAATAACTGTTCAGTCCCAAATAGTGGGTGGCATGATTCTAAAATATGATTTTGACTGGAGGGGTCTTTGGGCACATGGGATTGCGTGGAGAAGGGACAGTGACATAAACAGTGGGCTTTACCCGAGGCGAATATTAGAATTTGAAGATTACGGTTAAAAACAAAACGAAGAAGGGCAAAGCGAGGCAACATGACAAGATAAATGCATATTGCGTAAAGTGAGGAACACTGACAAGGGATCTAGTGAAGCATCAGAGTTGGCGTCACCCATTCGGCCAATTTGAACTAGAATCTAGAATCTGGAACTAAAATCACCTAGGTCTCGAGGCTTCGGACTGTTAAGTTTAGTTCCTGGGTCGCGCATGGTAAGTGGGCATGCTTAGGTGGAGGGACTAGGAGCGCGGATAAATGGCATGGGAATCTCAGAATCACGGGATAGACCGATGCTGTAAGCTCATTGATATCGCTGATATACTGGATTCAGGGTTAAACTTTGTCGGAAGGGTGAGCTAGTGACAACACACAAGCCGGAAAGCAAAAAGCACAGAAAATTATCGATTTTGTTGAAGACAGCCTGAAAGTTCATCGAGTAGTTTCATTAGCCGTGAATGAACTTTCCTATGTGGCGGCTGGGACATTTGCAGTTAATTGAGCGAGTAGGTTAGAAGGTATGGTCAGGAGTAGGAAAGGACTGCTTTTTGGTGTGCTTTCACACTGGATGTGACAGGCCTTGCCACTAGGGGCCTGACCTTCCTCAGTTTTTGGACAGCTCCATAACGGATGTCATATTTAAGGACATTAGGCTAGGATGTGTAATTCATTAAACAGTAGGACTCTTTCAGATTGGCTAATAAAATCCACAGGGGTAGGACGAATCCGATGTTAGTTTGCAGGTATATTTGTCCGGTTGTGGATCTCTGTGAATGCAAATCCCAAGCCAGTTCGAGTGGCCAATGGTCAATCTGGGCAGATAAGCTAAGTATTGCCGAAGGTAGAAGCTTGGAAAGACGAGGAAATGGACCGAGATTAGTAAACCCTGATGAGTTTGAGGAATTATCAGGTAGAATAATAAGCATTATTATGGGGGATAAATCCTAACGTTTACCATAATTAGGGCGGTGACAGCAGTTGATTAAATGAAGCGGAATAGAAGTGGACTGCACTCAGCAAACTAGCTGCTGGGTAGAGGTTGAGTTTTCTAATATGTAGTAATAAAGTACAAGAGGTTCAGAGGAAGCCGGTATAAGCAAGCAAAAAGTGGCTTGTTTGGGAAAATCAAGCGTTTAAAGACCAACGGCTGCGTAATTCCAAGATGGTGGTGCATGTCAGACAAGGGCCTTCGGGCACTAGTTTTGCATCCTTGTAGTTGAGGGTTAGGACTCCCGTAGGTATATGATATAAAACGGAATATTGCACTCGATAGACTTTTGATCCCAATATTAGATCTTTTGTGAGTTCTCCTGATTTTCCGGCAAGGAAATGGGCCCTAGCTATGTGCTAACAATAGTGTCTGCGGTAGGTTCCAGGTAATTGCATTGTGTTATACCACATAGCCGTTTGCTGTCTCTGGTCGTTCCATCTAAGTGCTAGAGAGCACTTGACGTGCACGGAATAATTTTCGTCCAGTGAACAGTTACATTGCAACCATCTGACAAGACAAGAAACACTCGAAACGGAAGCAATGACTGCAACTTTTGTGGCGTCAAAATGAATACTTCCATTAGTGTGCATTCCACTGTGTCTAGTTAAAAATTTTGGATTGTCAAACAGAGTTACATGAGTCCGTCCGTGACCAGGAACTACGCAGCTCTTAGGGAATAGTGAATAGTGATGAAAAGTGCGCCATAATTACACAAGAGGAATCGGTCTTCACGTGACCGTTCTCTAACTGTCATTCTATAACAAATCAGCGCTGCGTTGTAGCGCCCCAACCATAAACATTTCACGCCGTTGGCTATTCGCACAAGGAGATTGATTTCTCGAGGTCTACGGCATTTTCAGACCTGCCACTTCATAGTGTAGAATGTCTATGTATAATGTATATGCTCCCGTATTATTGAAAATCCTTTACTATGGGGATTTGTTTAAGTGAACTAAATCTCCAGGTGAATAAACACCGCCGACTATGAATACGTTACCTGATGATAAAAAATCGCGAATTGTGGAAAAGGTTGACGCACATACAATGAACGTAACTTTCAGGTGTTTTTCCACCGGAACAGATATTCTCAACATTCTAGAATCTAAATGGCCTTTGGAGATGCAA